CAGAAAGGGATCAGTAGCCATAAATGTGTATTGGTCTTTTGGCCCCTTACCCTTCAAACAGGTGGCTGGGAGGGATAGCCTCAATACTACAGGTGTATAGTATATAGACAAAGTCTGATAGACACGCACCAGAGTGTTACCAGTCTACCTGACAACTACTCGGCTCGCTGCCAGCTAGTTCCATGGCCGTTCTGCAGGAATCACAAGCATCATGTGCTCAATGCCAGAGCCTCCTGCAAGTTTAGAAGTTCTCAGAGGTTGGCAAAGTAGATATGCGGTCGCAGAGCAAACCACAGCTACCGTGAGTGGGATAGTTGGAGGTAGGTAAGGCATTCGCAACCCATAACCGACCCAATGGTCAACATCGATTATGAACCAAAGCAAAATAAGTCTACCACTGCCCTGCCTCATAGGGCCAACTGCTCCGAGTTCAACCATTTGAAGTATAACTATGGCAACACTAGTAGCCCTTGGCAAGGGTTAGAAGATCTAAGTAAGCCGCGGCCGGAGAACAACTTACACGCTCACTGGAACCATATAGACCAAACAAGAGACTACATCATCGTAGGACCATTGCACACGATCTCCTCGAGCTTCTTGAGCGACAAGACGGGACGTCTGAACAATCTCCACTATTAGAGTTACCACCAAGCTCCTAGTTATTCGTCAGTTGATGAAGTGATGCATTGGCTGAGAACGGAGTGCGTGCCAGTGAGCATAGATATCTTGAGAGTTCAGATGAAGCTATGTTAGCCGACTGAGGTAACCCGTCCATGCATCTTGTGCAGATACTCACGGAAATTCAAGGATTTCGCCTCCTCAACAAATATACGCGCAGCTTCCAAAACCACTCTCTTCAGCGTATAATCTTTGAAGGCCATTACTTTATACAGCCGACCAGGTGCGGTTACTGAGAGGACTTAATATGAGAAGTTCGTGAGATATGTTTGGAATCGCCTGTCTGTGAGCGAGATGGCCAAAGTTATGTGTAGTATTGCTTTTCTACGCCTTAATACCACCCATAAGACGGCGCTTAGCAGTGGCGCCCTAGCTTGGGGGCCAAATGCAACATGATCTCTACCTGATACCAACACATGTCTTATTTTGGGCTAGTTTTTGCTTGCTACTTAATAGCGAAGTTGGCTGTGCTTTCGATCCCCTATATTTAGAATTCGGGGACTGCTCGTCGCATCGTGACCTTCCACTCCATATAAATATAGGAACATGGAATTCACCCCTTTTTCTTCTTTACTTCGAAGGCGCGCTATAGACGATACATATTGACTGTCGGCACTTAAGAGCCGAGCGGATGTAGTTTTTGAGTTAGCCTACCTAAGCATTCTGACACGCAGACTCGCTGGTGGTGGGCTGGGCGGTTCAACCTGATACAGGTTCTCCTGAAATTCATGTCTAATGGCAAGTCCAATCATCTATGAGGATCTCCCAGATCAAACGACATCTATACGCCTCTTAAAGATCAGGTCAGCATCGAGAAATCTCCTTGTCCTCTATTTCCCTACATATTTATGCAGGTTTCCTCGTTTCAGTAGAGTGTTCATATGCAAACAATGCTGAAGGACTCTGGAAGCAACGCAATCATATCTCACAAGAATCACTAATCCCCCATCGTGCAACAGGGCAGGATGGCCGCAAGATCCTATCGAGGTAGAGCTTCTTGTCGTAGCCGACCGCCAAAACGCGCCATCGTATCATGCCCTTTCCTACGTCTGGGGCCCTCAGGAAAATCCGGTGGTCATCCATTGTAATGGCATAGAGATACCCATCACCGCGAATCTTGCATCAGCTCTCCGAGCGTTTCGCCCATTGCCGGCAGAAGGAGATGCTAAAGAGAACGGGATTTCCATTATACATGAGTCGCATATGCTACACTCCAGCCGTCATGTGTGGAAAGGCATTGCGCGCAATCGCAACGAAGTCGGTTTCATTGACCCCCGCCGACAAGGTCGTAAGGAAGAAATTCTCTACTGGATCGACGCTTTATGTATCAATCAGAACGACATGGCAGAGCGAGCAGCCCAAGTGAATAGCATGCGCAGCATTTACGTGCAGGCTAGCAAAGTGCGTATTTGGCTCGGAGATCAGTTGGTCTCGCCCGACGGATCAGCGCTGCACCTACCTGAGACGAAGGCTTCCAGGATTAATCGAAGGTTAGGGCACGTCAAGCTTGCCGAGCTGGGCCACATGCCCGTCGTCTTGGCATTCATTGTGCAAGCATTACGAAATGAAACCCGGGCTTCGAAGCCGACACAAGACGACTTCATAGACGAAATTGGCTTCCCCGATAATGGTAGCCCAGAGTACCAAATCTTAAGCGCCTTTTTGGACCAGCCTTGGTTTCATCGAGTCTGGATCGTGCAGGAGGCCGTCCTGGCTGCAGACTCTTGCATAACGGTTGGTGATTGGGAGCTCGACTGGGATCCTTTCACTCGAGCCATCCAGGTATTATCTCACACAAAGCTGTTCGTCGGCTACTCGATCACGATACGCTTTACGGGTGTCACTTCAAAACACGAAATAACTCGTGTGAATATGGAGCCCTTGCTGTATCTGCACGATATCAAGAAAACATCTACCCGTACTAGGCTCTTGCTTCACCTTCTTAATGATTCTCGAAGCAGAGAGGCCACTAACCCAGCTGATCATGTATTTGCCGTGTTAGGTATGGCCGTAGAGACGGTAGAGTCTACCTTCTCGAGCGTGATACCGGAGCTTCTGACTGTAGATTACACGAAACCGACAGGCCACGTATTCAGAGACGCAACGTGGTTCATCATTCTAAATCATCACACCCTGACGCCGTTGGTCGTGACTGAGTTCTTCAAAAATCGACCATTCCCAGAATGTCCAAGTTGGGCTCCTCTTTGGTCACAGGAGCGCCGGACAATCAGCTTGTTTCATGAGATTTTCAATGCGCATTATGGACAGAGATTAGCCTTGGGCCCAATAGACACGCTCGACACTCTATCTGCAAAGGGTTACACTTTTGAGAAGGTTCAACATGTGACAAATATGAAGTTACCATATAGATCTCAATCGAGTGAGGGGGTGCACTACCCGCCGCGCGAGGAAGACAAAGCATTTGTCACCCAGGCATGGGATCTGGCGTCAAAGTCGATGGAGAGACTTAGAGAGGCAAATGCCGACGCTATCGCTAATCATGGTGCGGGACGACTACTCCCTTCATACCGATTCCTAGAAGATACTCTTCCCGCTTTTTTGTACACCTTGGTAGGAAATGCAAACGATTCCTTAGGGGAAGGAAGGGCGGACGGTAGCGATGAGATGATCAAGTCGGGAGAGGCTTGGGTTATGGCCCACATAGATGCATGCTCTAGCCAGATGTCCAATCTGAGAAGGCTTAGAAATGTACTCAAGGGCATGTTCTCTTATGGTGCTGATCTCGTTTTCCAGAGCTCTTTCCTGAGAGCTTGTACTGGAAGGAGGTTCTTCACTACTCAGAACGGGTTTTTCGGGATTGGACCTGCTTCGATTGAGGAAAAAGACATTGTCGCCGTCGTCATGGGAGTTCCAGTACCGATAGTGTTGCGAGCGGTCGAGGATTTGAATTCGGACTTGAAAAAATATATCGTTGTTGGGGAGTGCTATGTCCATGGTATCATGGACGGTGAATTAGTGAAGGCAAGACAAGATGCTGGCCAAGAGGCTGAGATGCTGCATTTTATTTGATGACACAGGGCTGCATGGGGACTGATAGACCGAAGCTGGTATGTGACTTCGTAGTCTATCCGTTCACTCTGGGACAGAACACTCTCACCAGATCTAGGGGAACCTTGAGTATCATATAGACACTACTCAGCTATGATCGCCCTACTATGCCTTGCCTCATAGTGATTGTCAGGGAGTGTTGTCTCTGAGTGAATAGATAGGCTACGAAACCAAATCGCAGGCAGACGGGGTCAGTAGCCATGAAGGTGTGTTGGTCTCTTGGCCCCTGGCCCTTCCAACCAGGACTTGAGAGGCATAGCCCGAATATATAGACGAAGCTTAGTAAGTATACGTCAGGTGTTATCAAGGCATCTGACAGTGAGTCCGACCCCTTGACGGGCCCTGACTTAGATGGTTTTCTTTCGTGGATGATCCGCTGCAAGGACGAGACCAACCGATGGCGTGGGCCGCCAAGAAGACTTCCTCGTCGATTCCTGAATAGCCACATCCTTGGAGCTGTAGTGGTCGAACCCATCGTCGAGATCGCTGACGCCAGGGGCGCCATGCTCTGCGATATCGTCCTTCACGACCACCTCCACGACCACCTACACCTCTTCCACGGGCGTTTCCACGGCCGCGCCTTTGAAGGTTCTGGTCATAACGACGAGAGGGGTAACAGACGCTGGTAGTCGAGAACCGCGTCTCTGTTATTCAGGAGATTGTCCTGCAAGATGGTTATCTTGCCAGGGTCGGCGGCATGCTGACGGACTGATGCAATCAAGAGGTGCCCATTGCGCCAGTGAACGCCAGGGTAAAAGTATAGACATTGTCTATAGATAGCATAACACAGGGATATTCTCTTCTCTTCAACACAAAAATTTCTCATCTTCATGACAGTGCCCTCCTTCGCCTAGCATCTGGTAGCCAGCGACTCCCATCAATCAACTCTCCGGGCAGGCCGCCCCACGGCGAGCTGTCTATTCACAATCTATCTGCCTTGTCTTTTCTGGTCTGGCTGAGATAGCCTCTTCCGGTTCTTCTCGACAAACTCGCCAGTCTTAAACATCTGCTGGGTAGGGCTCGATGTTGTCAATCGAGACGACGTCAATACCAGTGCAGACCCTTGAAGCAACTTGAAGACTTCCTTACTTAAGGGGCTAGCTAACTAACCCAGTGGATCCTTAAGTTTAAGGCCCCAGGTGGCCCATCACATAAAAAGCTTAGAGATAAGGACAGTTTTAGAGAAGCAAAAACAAGAAAAAAGTAAGAGAGAAAAAAAAACAAAAGCAAAATAATTAAAAAGTGCAAAATAAGGGTCTGGCCGGGGATTGAACCCGGGACCTCTCGCATGCGCGCCAGTCTTCAAGGACCAGCTTACTGGGAATAGGGTGTACCCTAAGCGAGAATCATACCACTAGACCACCAGACCACTACACTGTTCCAGGCAAGCCTGGCTTCAGATTCAACTGATTGGATGGCCGCAAATCATAAGTCTTAATCTTACGTGAACAGGAGGTATCTGGGTATCTTGGGCAAGTGGATATACTGAACCAGCTCAATATTCAAATAAATTATTCTCTTTGTAGATAGAACCCTTTCCCAGCTGTATAAATTATTAGTCGCTTAAAGCCTTCCAATGCCCGATATATCATGTACCTAGCTGAGGTGTGTAGCTCGAATCTAGTTACAACACTCAGGCAACAGTTAAGCAATAATCCGGTAAGGATTTTCTTGGCAAACAGCGGATCACCAACTCATTACTACCTCTCGCTGCCCACGTATTGGACAAGTGCAATATTGGACATAAGGACATCCAGAGATGAGTGTATAAGATCATCAGGCTCGGTGCCAGAGCCATTCCCGACATTGAAAGCTTACATGCAGGTAATACCTAATTCCCCGATCAGGCTCTCTTATGTTGAGACCAAGAAAAAGACTCGGTGGGGAGCAATAAGTACCGCACCATATCCCAATAACACGCGAAATACATGATTGACAATTACATACATACACGACATCTTGCATTGCATAATCCGGTCTACCCAGCCAGTCCAACCATTCAGTCCAACCAACCATTCATTCACTCAGTGACTCGGCGAGTGAAATCCGCTTTGCTGCCCAGTCACGACCGATGTGCAATCTGGGCTGAAACTCCGCTCTACCTGAGACGACGTGTTTACCGTAGTATCTTATGGTGCATTTTCAATATTCTCCCCTCCGTCTGTTTCGCCCGCATCGAATGTTGCACAGGGCGACTTGACAGACGGGAAGTCCGATTCGGCCGTTCGGAGTCGGGGCGAATCACTTGGCTACACGTGCGGTGTTGGGAGTCTTGCTCTCTCTTATTTCCTTTCTCTCCCAAGCAAGCTAGGAGAGAAGAGGAGACGTGAAGTACAGCACCAAGCCGAGTTCCCATTCGCGCTGACGGACGCGTTTTCTTTGTTTATGCCAGCGAGTGGTATAGGTCGTATATTAATGGGTCGGTGATGGGCAATCCCCTTCTTCAATACGCCCAAAAAGTGACTGAGAGGCATGTTTACATTTCCCTCCCATCCATACAGATAGTATCGATATCATCATTCCGCTACGTCGCCGAGGCAGCTGACTCGATGTGCGCGACGTGGAAGGTGAAAGACGATGAATGGCCGAGCATGATAATGAATGATGTAGACTAGATTATAATACATACTCGTCTTCCAATATCTGTTCATTACCTGCTTCTCTTTACTCTCTCCTTTACGCCAGCTCTGGCAAGTTGCGGCACATGTCCATGCTCCTGTAGATCCGTAACTATGTCCAATAAGCAACCAAAGCTGAGCAAGCCACAACACCATCCCCATCGTCGCTCTCTTCAGTCAAGGCCCGCGTCTAGACCCGCGAAATCACCACATAGCCGCCGAGGGCGAAGCCGAAGTAGGCCGGCGAGGAGAGCGAGAAGCAGTTCTGTCCGGCTTCACCCGCGTACTATAACACCGTCTCGGATCCATTCCCAGTCACGTTCACGTCCTCGCCGACAAGTAAATCGCAGGGATATCCCATTCTACATCGCATCAAACGGACAGCATGGGCACAGCATCCCAACTGTAATCGCAGACGCACTGCGAAAGCAGGACCAAGAGCAGAACGAGGCTCTTACGTCCACGAACCTCGGCTACCGGCTGCCTACTCCCCCGGAAGTCAACGCACAAGGGAACGTGATGACCGCGACACCTTCAGGCCCAGGGCTGAAGCGTCGGCCATCTTCATCACCAGCGGCAGCTAACGCCAGACGGCGACGGCGGCGACCTCGGCGGCCACGACAGCGCAGCGTACCGTCCGAGCAAGACGAGCCCATCCCACCACCTCGGCCGCAACCAGCTCCATTTTACCCTCCCCGTCCCGCCTCGCCTCCGTATTCCTTTTTCGGAATTATTAGACCGAAAGCGGAGGAGGAGAACCAAGCACGTGAAGCGAAGAAGAAGCGCGAGAAACGGGAGCAACGGAAGTTGAGGAAAGGGGCGCAGGGAAAACAATTCGGTGTTGATCAGGGGGCGGATTCCCCCAGGAGAGCGAAGGGTCCCGGGACCAAAGCCGCATCGAACACCCCCTCTAAACGTTCTAACTCGGCGCCACCACTAAGCCGATTACCCGTGCAAGAAGTACAATATCCCGATCAACCTTATGATGACCAAACCCGCACGGGAAGTCAGCGTGGACACCAACAGCGCCAAAAGCAAGGTAAACAGCGTCATAAGAAGCACCGCCGCCACTCGCGCGAACAACCCCATCGGCGACAAAAACGACGATCCAGATATGTCATGCGAGACTTCTTTGCGTCTTTGCGCAGAAAGTTGGGCAACTTGTTTAGATTCACTTCACCAGCCGCCAGCGCACCGGCGCAATCAGCGCAGCCACGTGCAAACTTTGACAATACAACGCCGACAAAAGATCCCTCCGGCGCCCAATACCAAAAGGGCGAGAGTAAAACGTTCGGCGGCCAATCATCCCAGCAGCGCCGGAGCGGAAGAAGGATCGACAGCACGAGGCAGCCGCTGCCGTACTTCATGCATGGCGGCCGGTCGCCGGCCAACTCGTGGCATTCCCGACTATCGAGACCTGGAAGCACAAGACGATTCACCACAACAGTAGAGTCTGCTCCGGGTTCAAGAGCGCCAAGCCCAGTAAGACCTACAGAGGAGGAGGAGGACCCGGGACTTGCCCCGACAACAGGAGGGCCATATCCCCAACGATTCTCCTATCATACTTCGGCGTCCGCAATCTCTATTTTCGCTCGTAGATTCATGGGCCCGTTTATGTCAGAGTCCAGCGACCCGTCTACCTTGGACAACAACGGCTTGGGGCAAAGAAGGCTGAGCTGGCGAAGCCATAAATTGCTCACGGCTGGATCAAAGCCAGTGACACCCCCGTCGTCTCGTAACCCGAGCCCGGGGGCCCGAGGGCGTAGTACGGATCGGGGACAGAGGGTCTCCATGCCGGGGGAATACAGGTCCTTCTCGAGCTCAAGTATGGGCATCCGAGGTCTTTACCCGTCATCGAATCAGAAGAGCCGCTCGGTCTCACCTCACCGTGTTTTGTCCCCCGTTACATCCCCACTTTCATCTCCAGCTTCGTCCCCAGATTATGGGCTGACGGAGTTATTCGCCACGCCTCCGGAGGCGTGGAGCCCCCTGGATGGCTCGCCCGTGCGAATGTCTTCGCCCGACTACGGCATACAGAGATTGTTTGCTTCGACACCGGGCAGCTCAGGATCCAATTTTGGTCTGCGGCGGCTTTTTAGCGATTGATGACGGAAACGTTTTATAGGCACACCAAATAGACTGAACACTTATAGACTAGTGTGAGACAGGAACATTGATGTAACGAGCAACAACCACATACATGATAAGACGCAAGTTTGAGAAGTACCTGATCCTCAAGCTATCAAAACTCCTTGTCGCTTGAGATGCATTCAAAACGCCGTAAAATGCAAGCGAAACACGATGCTAAACCTAACAGCATTCTAACCGGCTAAGTCCGCAAGAAAGCGGAAAGAAGAGAAAGACCACGCAATGAATAATACTCCTGCCAACGTGCTTGGCGTTTTCATGTGCCTTTTAGTCGACCATATTCAGGCTCCGGGGACGCACCGCCATCCGCATCAAGGACTTTCCCACGATCCCATTCCCGCACGCCGCCGGCCTTGTTCCATCGCACGTCGGATTCGTCTTTCATGTCTCCTTTCTCCCACTTCCGTATCTGTTCTTCGGTGAAACCCGCAGAACGGAGCCGATCCGCTCCTTGTTGTTTCCATTTCTGCCTGTCTCGGAACGCTTCCACAGCATTATCCCAATCGTCGTGGCCCTCTTCATCTGGGTCAGGGGTCACGTCAATGGTAGGGTCATAGTCGGCGGCAAAACGACTGTCAATGCCTGACATGGCGGCGTTATGACCACGACCTCGGCGACGAATAGTCGATTTGGAAGGAGGCGCAGGGCCGATGAGATCGTCGAGCGGATCGGAGTCGGAATCGCTATCGGGAAGTTTGCTTGAAGAGGGAGTAGGTTCATGCTTGTCCTCTTTATCTGCACGGCGACGATGTCTAGAGCCGTCGTCTTTTTCTCGAGGAGACCGTTCCCTGTGTTCTCGATGTCGATGTTGTCGCCTTTCAGGCGAGCGGGATCTGTGGTGGCGCCGTCGTTCTTCGTGACGATGGGAATGGCGATGACGGTCGGGAGAACCGGCATGGCGGTCATCTTTCCTACTCCTGCTCTTCGACTTGCTGTCGTCGTCTCGATGCCTGCGCCTCCGATCACGGTCCTTTGTGGAATCGAGTTCATCTGGGTCTGCCGTAACGCTCATAGCTTTGCTGTCGCTCTCGTTGGGCCTACGCTTCTTAGATGGGCCACCTAGTATAGCAGCAATATCGCCAAGCATGCGTTTTCGAGTGTCGCCTAGGCCCGGCTTTGATCGTCGCTTTTTGCGCTCTTCTTCGTCGCGTTTCTGGCGATCGGCTTCCTCGAGATCGCGCAGTCTAGCTTGGGATTCGGCATTTTCCCTGGCTAGTAACGCTCGATTGTGGCTGTTGGTATCTCGAATGATGTTGTTAAGGAATCGGGTGTTTGGCTTCGGTTGGTTTGCAGGACGTCTGTAACAATTACTGTTAGAAATAAGTCGGGGGATCAAAGATGGAAGAGAGGTCACAAGCAATTACAATTAACGAGAAGGGAATTTGTAACATATCAGCGATTCAATGCCACGCGGCAACTCACTTGTTTGATTTGAAGGCATCCAAGCCCATGGCGGAGTATTTTAAGGAGCAGTCATTGGCTTCTTTGGACAGCAACTCTGCCACATAATCGTCCGTCAAGATCTCGTGAGAGGGCGGCATATTGATAGTTTGTAATGTAAAGACTATAAAACCAAAGAGCGATGGAGTAACGGAGGGAAAAT